AAGTTTTGGCCTGGGAACTAAGGAAACCACATGAATGATCATTGCTAAAGGTGTTGTAATACTACCCCCCCGATGAATGGCTTATTCCAAAAACTTCAACAAAACCAACGACAGTTGAGTTCCACTATCGCCTAGCAGATCCAGCTGTAGACCCAGAAAATCACTTTAAACTTTAAAACGTAAATGTATCTGCCAGTAGTGTAACTGTCAACGATCGAACGTACGACGGAATAAGGGAAGGCTGAACAAACTACAAAGTCATTTCGTCAACAGTTCACATGAAAATGGCTTGATTGCTAATATTTACGATTATTGAACAATCCATTCGGAAACGTTATTTCGTACGTGATGTGCAACTGCCAAAAATGGCCTGCAACGAATAAATGTTTCCGGGCTCGAAGAAACTTTCTCAACCTCGATTCCGTGATGGCAGTTCAAAACTCCAACCCATCTCAACCTGCGCTGCAAATTTTGAGGACTCAAAAGAGGGCTTTAGGTTTGAAAGACTACCAAAGGGCTTCCACTCACGAAAGGAAACCGTTCTGGTCAAATAAGACAAACCAAAGTCGCATTCAAAAGTGGTAGAAAACTAGCAATGCCCACTTCTGACTGCTTCTTATAGCTCAACTCCTCAAGCTGACACTTTAGAATGGATATTGATTTTGCGCGCGCTCGATCAATATAGACCTACACCTATACATGTCATTAAGGTTGGCCAGAAGGTCGAAACAATCCCATTCTACGAAAACTGAAATCGCCTTATAATTAACCTATGTTGGATTGTTCGTGTTTCTATCCGCTTTTTACAAACTTCTTTTGAAATAATGAGTTTATGTCAAAGTAGACGACAAGCTACTGTAAGCGACAATGAGCGATGACGAACGACAACAGAAAAGAAGCCATCCCGTTAGTAGGTAAGAGAGAAAGACCACCTTGAACGAAACCACGCCTCACCGAGTAAAAAGAGGCCCAAATTGGTTGAAAAGGTCTAATTTTCTCCCCATAGGAAAACCTTTTGGAAAAATACTGGTTTCCTATCACCATGGAAACTCCCCTTTGCAGAGAACCTTATAGATGAGAAATAACTGTAAATTAAGCCAAGGCATTTATTATGCACATATTAGATCCGCACCCAAATAGGTAAAAACTAACTGCCTCTCCAGAAAATGTGTGAATGAAAAAACTATTTGAATGTCAGTGCAAATATGGACTCCTAAGAATGCCCTCATCTATAAAAAGTACAAGGTTTCCATTCCAAAAATAGAGGTGACAGCATTAAATGGCTTCATTATGCTACACGACAGCGCCCATTTGATCATAAAAACTGAAAAAGCCCCATACACGAATGACGAAATACATGGAGATATGAGAGAGAAGGAAGTTCGCCCATAAATCAATCATAGACAGCGCGAAATCGATTCCCGATTTGGTGGCATTGGGTGGTAAGGCGATAGGGCGATATGCATCGTAACATCGTGTGGATAGAAGAGCCGCAGCTAGCCAGGGCCGTGACCGAAACCACTTCTACAGGGTGGAGGAGAGCTGAGACCAGCAAAATTACGACGAAGCTACATAAGTGTGACAGCACTATGGAAACGATTAGGGGGTTGGGGCTGTCAAGAGGGTTGCAACGAACGTGAGGACCCCGCCACCACCACGACCACCATCGTCGCCGCGTCCGCCCCGATTGGGCAAACCACTTGACACTAATCTCTCCGAGACCGGACAACACTTCTAATCACCATCTAATCACCACGTGTACACAGATTTCACGGTTATCATCAATACCGAAATTGATGGCTTTAGTGATGGCCACCCATGACGGCCATTAACACCGCTTCCTCTTGTTTTATGGAAATTAAACCGAATTAGCTGAATTAATTCAGCCTGGACGCCTGATGGACTGACAAGCTCTCACAGTTGGGACCATCAATAAGGGAACAGACATACTGGGTGTTCACCTTCATAGAAAGCCCAGCAGTACTGGAACAATTCCTAGGCTTCCAAAACCAGACTAACTTTCTTTTGATTGTGGTTGGCGGGTATGGTTTCGAATCCCTAGATCGAAGCAGATGGGTACCCATCTAGCACGGCTGGCCAGACCTAGTTGATCAGTTTTGCTACTGCCCAAAAAAACTTTCGATAAAACAACGATGAAACAGGGCAGACCAGAAAAAAAACATGACACGCTCTCGAGTGAGTGGCTCACTCACTCCCTCAAATGGGTCCCAAAAGAAACGCAGAGGTTGGGAAGGGTGTGCGGCATCATTTTGGGAAGCATTTCATAGCCAGACATTACAACAACATCAACGAATACAGGCGGCCACCATTTTTACACTCAATTTGGCATATGCAGGGGTGTTATGCGACCAAAAAACTTGGCCGCTGGTATCCCAACTAAACACCGTAACAATTCGGGGTGCATTCTCAATCATTAAGCTTGGCGCCTTTCCAGATGGGTTCGTTTCTGAGGGGCCAACATTGCGGATTTCTACAGGTGGGTAGGATAAGATTCCAGATTCACATTTTCTTTTAAATTCAACCAAAAGCTCTAGCATGGAAGTACGTGAGACACCTTCACATCATAGATCGCTTGAAACTACGGCCACCCAAAGTTCGATGGCTCCTATCCACGACATGTCTCAAGTGTTATCTTCCAGGACACGTGGCAACACAATCGAACATCACAAGATTCGCTGCCATTTCGAGACCTTGGGAAAAGCTGGTTTTCCGTGTGCTGGATCGATGGCAAATTGCTTGAAACACCACCAACGGAAAGCGAGAAACCGATAAGTGTTTCAAGTGTAGCGTCACCCACTGCTTGAAAAAGATAACCACTGCCGTCTGCTACGTGAAACGGTTTGGTGTAAAGTCGTCTCGGGGGGCATATCAGCGCTACCATGTAGGTAATAAACTTTTCCCACTTCCACAAAGAACGGAAACCTTATCAGTTCCCCGGCGTAGGCTTCGTAAAGCAAATGGGTAGTTTAACATATGGCTGGACTAGAAAAGCTTCCGCTGCCTTCAAGACGGTTACATGGCATTTTCCAAAAAAAGGGTTGACTGGTGCTCGATAAATTTGTGATAATTAGCGGAAAATCAACACAGAATCCGTGTGGTCCCGTAGAAGGACCCATTCGGACGACAAAGAAGCAATGTGGGCAGCCATGGAGGAAACTCGTGGCGAAGTTATCTGAACAAAGGCTGAGAAGGTAGAGTTACAAACGAAGCAGACAAGAAGACCATTCCACAAGAAATGTGCTGGAATTCGAGTCTCGCAGAGCACTAAAGAAGAGCTGGCTGGAATGATGTCTTAAAAAAGATCCCGTTCTGTAGCGTTCCGCGCTACAGTAGAGGATGGTCTGGGTTAAAAAGAGCTGGTAATTACTCACAAAATCAGCGGAACCGGGAGTAAGTATCCATTACGCCTAACGTTCGGCTGTCCCGTGCACATTTGTCAATGCGAACACATCTTAAACCCTACATATCGAGCTCAGGAAATAACAGGTGTGCGTTCAGAGGCCTGAGGGCTGACAGACGAAGAGGAGGTGGCCCCAGAGCACAACAGAATCGAAATCAAATGGCAAGGTAAAAGACGAGGATTGCCAAGGAAACCACGGAGATAAAAAACGACCGTTTCAGCAACCTCCCTGTCGCTTCCACGTCCCGTTATCCTCCGATTTATTTGATGGCAAATTCAGTGAACAAAAGCGAGACCTACATACGATGGCATCATCCAAAGAGCTTTCAGATGGCCACTACTCCAATCTTTTGGATGTGACGAAAATAGATCCAAAGATAGGAAATGAGCAACCCTATAATCATCAGGTGGCGGTAATGATGACGTGGGCTGGGCGGATCATGCAGAGCACGAGGATTAAGGGGGCCACACATCACTTAAAATAGCATGTTTTCGCCCGAGCCTGCAGCATGACGATGTACACATCACAGCGGTCACGTGAAACACAAACAACAACGCATAAGAGTCACACAGAGAGGGAAAAAGCCTCGCTAGTCACTAATGAAAAGGCGTGGTCCGCGCCCCGAGTAGTCATTAAACAGCTGGCTGGTGGACGATTCCTAGGAAATGCTGAGCAATTGCCAACGAATTTCTTGAAAAATCTCAAGAGATGAACAAATAGGAGTACTATGAAAATAAAGCATCTGTGATGGACGGTGAGTTTGAAAAAGGATGAAGCCGAGCCAAAAACTGGTGATCCGTCCCCAAATAACTAAGAAGATGAGAAGAGGTTCGACAACAGCTTCAAGAAGATGAGTACCGAAAATGTGGCTACTTCGCTCTTCATTTCATTTCAGCTTTTAGGCCTTATGACCAATCAAAGGACGGAGCCTAAACCATCTTAAGTATCACCCACGACATGCAATAATGGATTTAGTCAGCTCAGCTATGATATCGTCCTTCCTGGGCAATGGAACGGAAGTCGCTTTACATGAACTTGAAGACTTCGCAAAGGGTCGCTTCTTTCGAAGTCCTATTCGAAGTCCTAGAAGCTAGAAGCTGGGGTACATAATAGCCATCAAATCCAGGCTGGAAGTGAAAGGCTAACTTGAGATTACCTTTAAAATCCTGAAAAACTACCATAAATTCCTTCAGCATCAATGGATTTTCTATTCACAGCTTTCATACTCGAGTGAACGGCAACTACAATCGTGACGTGGCGATTTTTCAAAGTACAATAATAGTTTTACTCGGCGTAAACACCAGCTTAGTCATAAATTTGACATTTCCGGCAAAATACTCTGAAACACGTGATTTCCTCCTTTTTTCAATTTATCTGCAACAGTCTTTGCTTGTCACTATCCTCTGCGAAATCATTCCAAAAACGGAAGTTTTTCAAACAAACTGTTCTTCAATCTGACCTGAACGGGCACCAAGACGGCAACTCATAAACAGTACCACCTATGATCGGTGCATAACGGCTTTCCTCACTCCAAACAGCGCCCCAGTGCTTGAATAAATCCAAAACGCATTGAGATCCCTAATCGCTGACAATATACCTACCACATGGCGTTTTCACATCATCCCTCATCGATGGCACAGTCGTTGCCGCCGTCGTATTCAGAGGTACACTCTCGACGGTCGTCGGTGGAGTTGTACGAGCTGAAAAATCAGTGATTATTCCACAGTTGACGCAGAGTACGAAAAACCTGAGTTTGGAATGAATTCCGTCATGGTTTGGCCATAAATAAGATTCGTTTTCGGAAAATGGATCTAATGTTGAAGAAAAAAAAAACTCCATGAAAGCAATTTAGCCAACAAACTGGTCTCAGAGGAAACGTTGAGATGATCTGATCCCCCAGGTAAGAGCTGGAGAGTGGTTCTAACCTGTATTAAACCCAGGTCAACAACAGGGCTATCAATGCCCCATACTTTTTATGAAAGTTATGGGTACAAAAAACCGAACGTCAAATACTGTTCTCGCAAATAATTTAGGAGCATTGTGCAAATTGAATGCGAATTTTATATTTTTTTCTATAAATTCTATGAGAGAAGGCGAATTCGTGTAGCATCCAAACGAATTGACTCCCGTCAATAGAATTTTTTAATGCTTATCCTGAAGTTAATGTGCTCTCGATCTGAGTGAACCTTTGATGTCAGGGTGCATTACATAGGAGGAGGCCGAGGGCAATGTCTGCTGCGATCATAGTAGAAGAAGAGCACATGGAGAAGTGAGTTGAACTGAATGAAGCGGGCAGTTCTTGAATGAAGACTAATTTCCAGTAGGGTAGTTCATACGGGGTAATAAGTCAGACGCTTTTTGATACGTTTCGAAACATTTCAAATGTGGCCGAGATATTGTCGGCTGTACCGGTAACACGAACAACTTGAGCAGGCGAAAGAGAACCTAAGCGGATTTCACGAGCTGATCAATCCTTCACGAGATTCGCCCTAGGCCACAGACTTCCTCGTGGAATCATAGCAGTATTCGAATGCGCATGTGGCCCATACAATAACTTGTGAGGTACAGGCGATGAACAAAATGCTTTTTTATTCATCTAGACAAATTTGAAGCCGATTCCAGGGAGACAAATGGTCTAGTTGGTTTGAGGGGATAACGATCTGGAAGCTCTAATCCTCGTAATTTACGGTTAGTAGCAGTCCCCTCTGCACACTACCACACCCACCTGGAGCTACCCACCCACCTTCTCCTGATTTCTGGAAATAAACTGAAAATTTTAGGTTCATTTCCTCTGAGAAAATGGATTCATTTGGGAGCTTTATAAGCCTTATAATATGACTTACGTTTCCATTAGCACGTGTCCGCAATAGCGTACTACTTCACCATCACAACTCTACCGTATGTCTATCTTAACCGGATCTCGTAATGGACATTACCAGTGATCCGACTAAACATGGGGTCCGTTTGCTCTGAGGACTTTCTACGTCAAGACGAATTTCATTCAATTACAACTGCCCGCAGCAGACAATCGAAACGCCCGTTCAGCTATCGATTCCCATCTTTTTGCCCAACCTTCACAGGATTATGGCAGCATGCTTTGTTATTAATGAAATTCGAATTCTTCGTAATGAACGGGCATGAAAATGAGTCTCGGGATGAAAGCCGTCAGTTTCATCAATTCAAAACGTCAGAAAAACTTCTTCTACTCTGAATTATCGATGGCATTTCTTTCCAGCTGAAAGTGTTGGGGGTGGATGATACCTCCGAAGCTGAAATATTCCAGTGCCAACTACCATAAAAAGCCTTCTTCAGTTCGGAAACAAATAAAGAAAGGTATAAGATATGACAGGATTTGTAGCTTTACAAACGGTTTTCAGCCGTACTGAACAAATTCGAGCAGAGCTCAACCTTCGGACCAGGATGCATGAACTACGAAATCGCTAGGGAAGGATGGTCATTTCCTGTTTACATCCACCACATGGTCGACGTAAACAAAAATAATGAAATGGATTCATCATATTTACTAGGATATTACTAGCTTCCGTCAATAAATCTTCGAGGAGCATCATCAGAAAAGATACTGAACTGATTGGAGCTGTCTTTTGATGGGAAAAACGGTCTAGCTGAAAAGTTCTACATCTCCATGGTCAAGCCTGAGGAATCTAGTCTATTATGGATCTAGAGGATTGGATATGGAAAGTGAAGAATGGATAAAGAAAGTAATGAGTTTGAAGAGTTGGAAAGACCGAGTGGGCATGATTCATTATGGATGAGATTGAGGAGACGCTGGACGGGACGGTTTCTTACAGGTGTCTTTCCACGCCCGCCCTTGAACCTGTGCTCTATCCCATAGGAATAATACAAAAACTCTACCAATATTCAATTCTGGGGTGGGAAGTGAGCGGGAGTAAAAGTATGAAAGCTCCCACCTCTTTGAGCGATCATACTCTGACCCGCCCTCAGTGCCTACCTACAATACCCCACATTAGGAATCGATGGAGTTGGTAGATAATCGATATCCTCTTGTTCCATGAAAGAACCTTAGAACCTCCAGAAGACAGAGAACAATTCGAAATCGAAACAAGCGGAAACAAACCTTTTCGATCCGACTTCATCGAAACGGCAGGATGCCGTGCCATTGTCGAGGATGAGGCTGATGACTTCGATGACCCACCGCCCGGTTCACCATATGTCGGCGAACGCCGAGCAACCACAGCCGAATAGAATTCCTAAAAAGCGGTATTTAAGGGGTAGCTGGTATCTAAAGTTACGTTTTGTGTTTTGAGAAAGTAAAAAATGGAAAATTTTGAGACTGAGCAATAACAAAATTGGCATTTCCGTTGAATTAAGTCCCAAAATATGCAGCAGCTCAACTCTAGCAACGGATTTTTGAAAGTGAAATCGTTGGTCGACTTTAATAAATACAGTCCTGCAATGAACGAAGTTTCTGGTGGTGTACAACCTCTTTTTGGAAGTCGACTCCTCCCGTTCAGGATAGTAACAAAGTCGAANGCGTACATGGTCTACTCAGTCACTTGCATCGGCTATATAAGACAATGCTTTTGTCCCTTATAGATGAGTTCGGCACCAATTGACCAAGCGATGGAAGGCTTGAAAGTTCTTGACGGGCATCTCTACCTTACGAACTATATAGGGATTTGATCCGTTGGCCATACGTGTGGTAATAACACCACTTGGTATTCTTCTTTTCCACCAGGTATGACGTTTACCTTACTCCAAGGCCTTGGTAGTTAGGGCGGAAAGGATAAAAACCTTGGGGTAGTTGTTGAGGTGAACACTCCAAGATGCGCAATATAAGTCCATTTGCTCTTTAAGCAGTCCTCGAAGGCGTTCGTTACCCGCAGACGACAAACTTTTTCCTTTTCTTTTTTCCTATCCCTATAGACCAACCAACTGGCACAATACTCGTCTGGGAGGACAGAACAGTGAATCGTCCGTTCTCTCCCAACCAACTCTCGACTGAAAATACATCCCATATCCCACAGAAACTCTGACTAATAGACGCACCCAAATGGGGTCGACCAGTGCCGAGCGTTTATTTGCTTGCTCTGAATGAGAAGTTCGAAGAAAAAATTCCTTTGGAATTATTCTCTGTAAACAACAGTCGTGATACCCATAAGTGAAGCCTCGTGCCAGGTGGTGGAAGCGAAAAAAAANAAAAAAAACTCATTATTCATGCGTGCCCTAATAACTCAATTACAAATGAATACGCAGACACCAGCTTTCCCACAGCTGGCTTCTCCCCATAAAAACCAGCAAGCACTTAATCATTACCTGAGACTGAGCTTGACGATTATGTTTCCATACCGGGAAACTTGCGGAAAATGGATTGATGGCAGCAGCCGCGTCTTCTGCCTGGGGGTTTTTGGTTAACACAACCCAGTTTCACCAAGGATTTACACATTCAAGGTCGACAGTGTGAGTAGCAGTTTTGTCTGGGACGACGACTTGTTCACCGATTTTTATGGGATTTTTATGGCAATGAACCTTGCTCAAATACTTTACTGTTGTGTGTCTGTACATCTTTTGAGACACTGGTTCTACTTGGGGAAAGCTTCATGCGAGTACCCCCACAGATAAGTAGACGAGGGCGTCATTTCGAGTTTGGTTTCTTCTCACCCTCATCCTTCATTGGGCGTTCCACCTTTGGTACCCACCAGTGAGCAGGAAACACCGTACCAGACCACCTGTGGCTCTTTGTGCAATCAGCTTGACTGATAGGCTCAGCGCTAGACCAAGTAAAGGCCTATGAAAAAGGGTCTCCAGGCAGACCATAAAAATGGGACCATCGTCTGATGGGTCTTCCTAGACAGACTAAAAAATCCGGTTATCGAATCACCATGTCCTCTCTATGACAAATAGGCCCCATTTCCTGACATCGTCCCATTAGAGAAAATAGCATGCAGTGAGCAGAGCCCCACATTCGTCTTTCATACAGACTGTCCACCGCCAGTGTAAAAAAAGAACCCCGAATCATCCAACTGTTTCCGATTGCAATAACTTCATCAAATTCCATTCAGTTCATTATCTCTTCAATTAGCGACTTTTTTCGAACCGCAATAAAAAAATAATTGAAAAAACTGAAAAACTGCTCTGGTCATGCTACTAAAAATTGCAGATTCCGTCTACCTTGAGCGTGCAGGTTATGAAGGAACACGCAGGAATATTATTCATTTGGCCGTAAAAGAACTCACCCAAGTATGAAAAAGTATAGGCGTCCTTGGTAGTGAAAAATCCTGATGGGTTCCTTAACCTCTCAGCAGGCACTCAAAGATTATCAACATCCCTGATGCTCGATTAGGGAATTGCACCCGATGCTGGGAAGGTATTAACATGCCAACAGCATGTAATAAAGTAAGTAAAGTGGGAAGGGGATGGGATAGTGACGTGGTTGTACATTCCAAATAGAAATCATTGCTTTCAGAAGGAATCCATAAAAGAGTGATGCGCCAAATTCCAAGAAAAGTGCTCTGATTAGATAATATTGCAATGGGAGGAAAGAGAATTGAAGGCACTAACATGGTGGGAAAAGATGAAGAGAATTGGGTCTGATAGATAGCGACAGGGAAAAGGCCTACTGACACTTCAGTGTCCCTGTTCCATACTTGGAACGCCGTGTCTTGAGTGATTGATTTAAGGTAAAATTCACAAAGAAGATGTGAATAGCTCTTGAAGGCAAGTTTCTCACCCGCCCTTGACTACCATCCCTTGTGAAGTGGAAAGAAGGAACCCTCCTCCCATAGGAAGAAGAAATGGACCAGGAATAAGTGCTGGCTAGGAACCCCTAAGTCTTTCCTCCTGAGATCGGGTAAAAAAGGAGGTCTACTGCCCAAACCCAAAAGCTATCGATGACTGGTCATCGCCGGGCCCTTGAATTTATACCCTAAGACTATCTGCAGGCGTATGCCGCTAGCAGCCCCATCCATTTACACATTTTTTTTTGAGAATTTAGTAATGCATGAATTCTACCAAAGCAGTAAAATTATTAGTCAAATAAGAGAAAAGTTATGAAAAAAGTGGAAAAGATGAAATTTTCGCTCACACAGTCCATACTGTTGACTCAACATCATCTATTAACTTGTGACTCATGAAGATAAACAGAAAAGACAACAGAAAACCAACAAACGGCATTAAGACTACAGTGTTGCCCATAAAAACAATCTTGTACTTAAATCAGACTCACACTGGGTGGCCTTTGGGTGACATCGCTTGGAGGCGTCGATTTCAAAGGCGACGAGTGTAGTACCTGGCTGGTACCTCCTACTGACGTCTTCTTGACGATAACCGGTGCTGCTACAGCGGCAGGTGTTGGCTGATTCGGCTGTTGCTGCTGCTGTTGTGCGAATTGCATCTGATTCAGCTGCGTCACCAATTGCTGCATCAACGCCGGCTGCACACTCCAGCCTCTGAAATGGTCATCATTGATGGCATACTTTAACATTCACACTGATTACTGTATCAATCGCAAATATCGACTTCGATAAAGGGAACTGCAAGCGTTCAGTTTTGTTTAACGATCTGTTGAAAGACGATTCCGGGCGGTTGTGTGGGAACTCTAAACCCACTTTTCCCCGTGGGTCATCAAACAAGCCCAGTCCCCACGTGGCGATCTCTCGTGTACCTCTGACCAAAACTTTATCTACCTTTGATTATGGGTATGGCATTGAAAAAGTTCATTTTTAGAGCTATTCTCGAGTAGAGAGGCCAAAGCTCAAAGGAATGCCCCTACCGCATTTCTTGCCATTTAAATTGATTTTCAGACCAGGGGGTTTACGTGCAGGTTGTGACGAGATTGCAATTCCCACATGATCGGCCTGGATAGGTGTGACAAGCAGGTGTATTCCACTCCAGCCCATTATTCCTGCAGCTTCAACACTCAAATGAAGGAGCTGCAAAGTTCCCAAAGCCAAAACGAGCGGAACAAAAACAAAAATTGAATACCATTGCATCAGATAGGCAATTCGATCTGGGAATTGTCTTCATAGTTTAGACCGTTTTACTCGGGTATATGAAAAAGGTATCGACAAATCATCTATTCATGAGATAATTCAGATGACGAGCCCATAGGGGAGGAGTCGGTAGTATGAAATCGATTTCATGCTTGGAACTGCTATCAACTCAAAAATTACTATGAAGCGTATATCTGCATTTCTCTTTTCAAAACTGGAATGATTTAAAATGGGTCATGAAAAATACGCTTGTAATATGCACTTGTACCATTCCAAACGGAATTGGACTAGCAACGCGCGCTGGACCGCGTCGCGTTACATCGCCACACATGCCCGCGTACGTGCAAGAGGAGACATCGCAATGAGCTCAAAATTTTCGTATCTAGACACGAGAAACCCACAAATCTAATGCAGCCCTACCGATGGTGCACCAAAGAAAAGTGGAGGACAAGAACAGCTGTTTGATTCGCCTGCAATGGGTCCCTGTTCCTCAATCCTAATCAATAATTGGTGTGGGTAGAAAAATGAGGTAAGTATGTACCCTCTGAATATCTGGTAACTGAACAGTCCGAAACTTGCTGTGATCAAAACGACCCACACCTTTCAAAGTGTCAATAATCCAGAGCAATGAGCTTATGTAAATGATGCTTGGGTAAGCGAATNTTGATTCGCCTGCAATGGGTCCCTGTTCCTCAATCCTAATCAATAATTGGTGTGGGTAGAAAAATGAGGTAAGTATGTACCCTCTAAATATCTGGTAACTGAACACCCCTGAGCTTGGTGTGATCAAAACGACCCACACCTTTCAAAGTGTCAATAATCCAGAGCAATGAGCTTATGTAAATGATGCTTGGGTAAGCGAATGATCCCCTTGCCCCTTTTGCTTTATCAAATTTCGAACCACAGCTCTGAAACTGGTCGTCAGTTATCAATTCCTCATAAGCCACGCCTAATTTTTAGTAGATAAACGGTTATAAGTAAAAATGATACGATTTGCACTATAAAGTTTAATCTAGAGCCATATTACAGAAATTACAGCGGCATTGTTCTGATGCGAGCGTAATTTTAATATCGATCGCTCAACAACGTCCCTTCCCAACTAAACGTCCAATCTTCTAACGACCGTTCAAAGTTTGACATCAGATGTTTGAGGAAAAGCTCTAGAATGTGGCAAAGATAAATTTATGGTACCATATCGGGTACTTTATGATTGCATCAATCAACCATCCATCGTAAAACATTCGTTTTCGTATCATAAAAGCCCCTTTGCTTCATGCATAGATTAATAATAAATTCTGGTTACCACAAGGATTTAAGGGCTCAAAGGCGGCACACATAGCCCCATATTTGGCACAGCTTCGCCTGAACGGATTACTCTCACTTCATCCCATCCACAACCCAAAGAATAGCCTCACCAATGGCCTGTCACAAACGAGTGACTCATTGGTTAGGTTATTCTTTGGGTTGTGGGTGGGATGAAGAGCAAACGAATAAGTTACAATTTTTCCAGGGTTTTTTTCCTGATTTTTTTCTCTCAGTTTTTCTGTAAGGATTTTTTTTTCAAGAGCTTCAACTGATGTAAGAATAAAAGTTCACTAATTGCTTGGAATAACACGAGAAGGTAAGCACAGATTTTTGGACCGCCCTCCCTGAACTGCCGTTGAAAGCGAGTTAATCAAACGTCATTTTCAAACCTCATGATCCTACACATACATCTTATTCCTTAGAGGAAGGAAAAAGCAAGGATTGATAGAATTCCGGTATTAAGGGAATCTTGGTCTTTTTATAAAAGCGTTTTCAATGGGTAGAATACTTTATAAGCTTGGTCCTGTAGTTACATAGCATTAAGCCCGGTATTACGGCCGTTTAGTGAGGCATCAGGACAGCATGACTAGGCGCCCAAACCCCTAGCTCCAGCTTCGAACAGGCACCCATGATGAGCTGGGTAACTCAACTCCCTCAACTCCACCTCCATCCCACCGCAAAGTCAACGTCGTTTCACCACCGGGATATTCGAGGAGAGGAAATAATCACAAGTAAACACTCGTTATCACTAGAAATTATCACTAGCCGCTTGAAAAGCCACAAATAGGGAAATCCTCAAGTTCGCCTGAATCAAAGCGGAGAAATCAGACGTAATCCGGAAATCATGGGAACAAGCAATTATCTAGAAGCAGTGCATTGAAATGGAAAACTCCTGCAAGCAACACACAATAAGAACACTGTGAAACCACGTACAACACACTGAACCCTACGCAAAATGTGCCAGTAGCCCCCTCGGGGACAGTTGGAGAATTACTTGGAACTCTACCTATACTGAAGGAAACAAATCTGTAATCAAATAGGAAGATCTACTCCTTCCGTGAAAATTGACGGGTCACTGGTAACAATAATATATCTCCTTTGGCGATTAGACCGTTTTACTACACGATAGCATAAAAATGCGAGGTACCTCTTCAAAACGAACTGGACGAAACTGTTCAGACGATGTAAACTGACCGCACAATCCTTATAGTAACTTATTTAAATGAAAAATGAAATGATACGGTGATAAATGAGGCTTTGCTTGAAAATAAAGGTCCAAAACGATATTAACGGATCGATAAACGGCAGCCAAGTACCGTTATTTCACGCTATCAACCCATCAGTCGAACTTATCGATATCAATCCTTTGATCTCCTTTGAGATCATTCCGATCACCACACAGAACCCTTTAAAATGGAAATTCAAACTGCATATTATCGCACATTTGATGTTGATTCATCGCCATTGATCGGGAGGTGTCTGATTCCCCAAACTCATCATGACGGCAGCAGTTTCTGATCGTGATCATTGCCGGGGTGGTTCAGGTGATTCGATAGAATCGATTAGGACTGACTACAATGTTCACCCCCAGAACTGCTTGACCTTCGGGGCTTTCAGACCCCACAAATCTCTGACTTCGAGGAAATCATCGGAATTTTGCATGATCTTAAGAGGATTCTAAAGCGACTCGAGACAACAGCATTATCTTGGACTCTTTCCTACAAAATGCAAAGTATCCAGTTGTAAAAGATAACCATGGACGATGGGGAAAGCACTGAACCAGTAGAAAGACAGAGTAACAATGAGCCGACCTTTTGCCAGGTCTCTTACACGATCAATACGACTTTAGCATTAAAAACTTCTGCCCGATCGCACATTGGGAGGAGATCGTCCCATGCAATCGAGGTTCCCAAACCCCACCCAAATCAAATATCAAACAGGATTTTCCCGAACGCGGATACCGATAAGCTCGATCAACGGATGAGACCATGATATATAATTTTGTTCCAGAAATGGAAACCTAGGGAAATTTTTCGACTCTATCTGGGCATCCCAGCAAGAAGTCAACGGGTAAAAGGGAACTGGGAGAATTCCGAGCAGCTTTGGCATCCACCACAGTACCGATCAGAGAAACTTGAGCCTTCACACTTTTTTTCAGTCCGGTTAGGCGACAGTAGCCATTTCTATCGGAAGGTTCGAGAGTGGGGAACCTGGTCAAGATGTCTGAACCCTACACTTTGGNTGCCTGGACCCAACGGCTGTGGTAGCGTGTGGGTGTTACTGGGAGCCCAGAAAAAAACTTCCTACATAATTTCTGATGCTATAAAAAAGACAGCCGCTGCAAATAAGAATTTCAGCACGCCCTTCCAGATTGATTTACATCACTTACGGTGTAGATTGAGCTGCAGGTGTTTGCTGAAGATGTTGTCGCATCTTTTCCTGCCTCAGCATCGCTTCGTCCATCGGTGTCGTCGGTGCGGAGGCTGCTCCGCTACCGTTCATTGGTCCCATTTGTTGCATTAATTGCATCAAAATCGGCAGTATATCATCCGAAACACCAAGTTCCGGTGCTAAAAAGGAATAATTTCATCATTTCACTTCAACTATAAAGTGGGAATCATTAAAATGATATTCATCCCTATTGAAAGTTCTAGAGCAGCGAGCGTTCCTTACACAACACCTCTCAGAGTTCGGTATAGGTTCAGAAACCGATCGACATAGATCGATCTCTGTCTGATACGATTTATGAAATAAACGAGCCGAAGATTGCGCCGCCATTTAGGCATCTCCCTAATCCCTTTCGGACGATTGACAGCCCACGAGATCGATTTCGTTGAGATGGGAGTTGCTCTATTTCATTCTTCATTCGTATTTTTTCACTAATTTTCATTTATGTTATTCGAAAAAGTGGCAGTACTCTACAACCCTTTGTAGACAACCTCAGCAGGCACTACTCGATACTTCCCAATTCAGTGAGAGTAGGCAAAACCTCTAGAGCCGCCTCGTTTGTTGGTCCCTACCTTTCTACACCTCAAAACACCAATTTACTGAGCTCCACTTACAAATCTGGTCAACGTGCCCACTGCCTACAATGCCGAAGCTATAAATTTACTACGTTTACCACCTGGTGACGTTCAAACATAGAACTCCCGATCAGTCAGACTAAACCTACAAAATAGGTGTTGAAAGGAAACATCCATCAGAAGACTATATGTGACATATAAATGGTAAAAAAGGGCCGGAAATTGCGCAATAAGGTCTGGAAGTTTGGTAAAGATGCCTCGTTACCAGTGATGGGCGCATGTAATAAACTCTGAACCTTTGTTGCGTCATTTCCAGACCCCTCTTCATCACGACAGTGCCTTATGTAGCTTTCCTGAAAACTTCAGTTTCTTTACAGTACACAAACTGCATAACCAATCTGGTAAAGAGTTGTGCCTCCGAATGAGGGTGGTTCCCAAACTTTTTGGATCTTACAATTCTCGTTCTGTAATAGTTTGAATATGGACTAAAGGTACAGGCAGGATCATCAGCCAACCAGTGATAGTCAACTTAGGCGTATCCTTAATCAGGACCAAATCTCATGCCACGGAAGTCCGATTTTTCAAAAATTTAGAATCAATAAAGAGGTATCCATGCTCTAAACAAATCTCAAAAAGTAAGCATGTCACTGATTATGCGTAAAGGGCTGCATAGGAAGAATAAGTAGTAAAAACAATACCTCTTGCACGTTGTTGAGATACATCATCCATGGGAGCTGCAGCACGTGCAGCCGTGGCAGTCGCACCACCAGCGCCACGACCAACAACACCCGGATACAACCTGGAATGTTTGTTCATTAGGATAAGTGCCTGGAAAAAAAACCTAAAATACCCCAAATGGCTGTTTTTTGTTCTCAGTTATGCCCGACATGCCTCAAATTATTTCTATAGGCAAAAAAGGAGGAAAAAAGCGTCGAGTAAAGTTTGTGCAGGTTTTTCTCCCGAAAGAATCCCTCAACAAGGCACATTTGGAACCTGCGCGGTGCTCAGAAGGAGACTTTCTATTTTTCCTTGAAAGATTCAGGAACAGATGTAACTTTACATCGAGGATCAGGATTATGTCTGTTTAATGATTTTTCGGCGAATGCATAAATTTTGAAGTGATTCTAGAATAACTAGTATGCTGAAGTGTATCTGGGTGACTCTGACTCAGTCAGGAAATTTCTCACTCATCCCTCGGAATTGGAACGCTATATTTGAAGTGATGAGAAAACTGCTAGCTAACACAATCGCCTCATCAATCGCACGTTCACCTCGTGGGGGATGCCGCGCTGCACCCACACACATACCAATAACTAAATATTACAACGGCGTGTGCAAAGGCATATCCACACTATAACAACAAAAACGTTGTCGATTGAATGATCTTGTTAGTCTAATGGGATTTCCCTCACGACTGTAATGAAGGAGGTTTTTTGACGACCCAGAGGTTGAGTTCAGAGGGATAAGCTTTAGGTGCTGATTAAGAATAGCTCTTTCTTCAGACTTGCCGAAAATTTTACCTACACTCAGAATAACAACTTTAACATTCTATTTACATAGCTGTTCGATTGCGTGTTCCGTCTGCCAGATGGAATATTCTGTCTGCCAGACGGAATTTCAATTACACCCAGAATCATGACTCGAACATTTTCTTCACATAGCTGTTCAACGCATTTCGACGCATTCTAATAGCTATGAGAAGAAAGTAACGAGGTTATGAGAGCTTCATCCCACGGACTTAGCACCAGTAAGAGAACCTTAAAAAGGGCAACTTTCGAAG